TAAGGAAAAACTTCTTTATAAGTCGAGTGCCAAGGGTTTGGAACAGGTTCCCCCCAGAAGTGATAGTCATTCACTCCAGCAATCTTTAAACAATGTCTTGATGCCCATCTTGCCGGGATCATTTGATCCCAGCAGTCTTTCCTGCCCACATCTTTTCTGCCCTGTCAGGTCTGAGTCTCTAGCCCCACTCTATCTCTGGGGTCTGCCTTCTGGCCCTATTAGTGGGTGACCCACCCGGTTGTGGGAGCTGGGGTTAAGGCACCCCAACCCACCTTTCACCAGGATGGTAAGTGGCCTAGCATTTCCTGGGGGCTCCCACACCACTGAGAGCCCCACCAGGTCACAGTTTTAGGTCCTGCCCAGGAGCCTCCTAGCCATGCCCTACAACTCCTCCCTTACCTCCAGAGTGTTCCAAGAAGCCTCACAGCCAGGCAATGTTGCTACCTGGCCTGCCAGCAGGGAACTGAAATGTTTATATAGGCAGCCAGGGATCTAAAATGGCTGCCACAATCAAGCACCTGCTGGCTGTTTGGCTCTGATCTTAAAGTAGCAGGTACAAACAGTGCCCTGCCACAGTCCTCTTTGGTACTTCACTTGCAACTTGCAGGGGCAGCTTAGGTACCAATCAATCCTTCCTGTGAAGTTGTCTTGCTAAAGAGCTCCTCTGCCTGATGTCTGCAGGGAAAGACTGACCACTTGGTCTCAGGCACTGGCCTTATATGCCTCCAAAGCCCCACCCCTTCCTGTCAGGTAGCTCTCTAGCCACCCACCAGGGTTTCCGTTTTGGCCTGTCTGCCCTTCTCAGCTGCTTGCAGCTTCTATTCCTATGCTACCTAAATATCTACCCATTAGCTGCTTACTGTGGAGCAACTAGCTCCAGGGCAGTCTCTCCCTAAGTGGTAACTTGTACCCTGTTGTCACTGGTTTACTGCTTTCTGGCAGCTAGCTCTCCAGCAGCTAGCGTGATTCCTAACTGAAGCCCCCTCCTCCCACAGCCAGTTTAGCCCATTGCAGCTTTCCTTAAAGTGAGAGAAGCCTCTGACTCCCTGTTACAGATGGGTCTGCAGCCCAGCACCAGCTTACATTGCCTCGACTCAGCTTTGTCTCACAGTCTCTTCCCAGTTACAGGAGTACCACCCCCTGCTACAACGTCAAAAAGTTATTTTTTTTAGCTGGAACAATTCTGACTCACCTACAAGGGAGTTGCAGATAGAAAGTCTTCCTGAGGTTAGGATTGAAGGCTAAATATTAGTATCAGTACCAACTTTCTATGTTGTTCACAAAGTGACAATACATCTCTGGATGAGCTGTAACATGTTGCTTGTTATCAAGAGCAGTCAAGGAGAAATTGGGGAGGAGGGGTGCATGTGTGTGTGCAGACAAACAATAGAGAAAAGCCATGAACAAATGTAATGCTTTTAAGTGCTACAAATGCCACAATGCTTTGAAGCACTACAGGCATGAACAGGTAATGGCCCCCCGTCAGGAACTCCTAGGGCATTTATACACATACTTTTCTGTTCCGTAACACACAGAGATCCACTGCTTTGGAGCAGACTCGATTGTGTCTGTTTCACATGTGAACTGAAGTGAACTGTGCTGCACCACGTGGAGTTGTATAGGCAGTGAAATGCATGTCAGCAAGACATGTGAGACTAGTGAGCTAGTCACTTTACAGAAGTGAATAGGTAACACCATTCTCATCTAAATAATGCATTCAAATCATTCTAACTTAACCAATGGAACCAATAACTGGATCACCTAATCTCACTTTTTTCCCCCCTCCATTTATGGTAGTTTGCTGGGTTTAGTTTCAGTTCTATGGAGTTTAAGGTACTATGGACTAACCAATTATAAGGGCAATTTTAAAAGTACTTATTTAGCAACATGCAGCCTCAAAACAGTAGAATTTCACTAATATATATTATACTGAACATCTCATTCACACAAATTTGGCTCTAAGCAAATATATAATGACATCAAAAAGTGTTTAGGTTATGTGTTACTTGTCCACACAGAAACCGAAACAAGAAAGTCAGTTTTACTCCATATATTTCATTTCAAGTCTGAGAACACTTATTTCTGAATAAAATTCTATTTTGATTTAACCTTCAGTGAATTAAAACTAATTTTGTCATTTTAACCCCACTTTTGTGCAAAAAATGCAAACATTTTTCTAAAAAAAATATTCAGTAGCTCTATTTCAAAGCACAAGCAAAAAAATGAGTAACATCAAACCAAAATGTATTGCCCTAGTTTTCCTATTGGGTTTTCTAACGTTTTAATTCTCACAATTCAGTAACCTGCACTGGGTTCATTTTCACTGTTCATTCTTCTGATAAAATGGATGGCAAAAATGGAAATATGATTATATACTGTACCTTGTTTTACCTGTAAGGAACACACACCTGACAAAAAGCAATCTTCACATCCAGGGTAGGTTCACTGCAGTAGTACAAGAAATGGCGGCTCATAAATACCTACATTTAAAAAAAAAGAGAGAACTATATCAAAATCCAATGTATGTTACTAATCTGGGATTATAATATCCATTGATCTGCTTTAAGTGCATAAAAACATCATCTGAGTTATATTCAATAAGGAAATAAGAGACCAGATGGCTCGATATAATTATAAGAAGCTCTCAGACCTCCCAGCCATTGGTGACAGTGGTCTGTCTAGAAACTACCTAACTGATTAGGTTCAAGTCTGCCTTGCTTGGAGTAAAATCAAAGTCTCCAAGTTCTTAGATGGCAATTACTCTCATTTGGTCTATCAGTCCAATCTGAAAAATACCATGATTCCTATTTGAACAGCTAGTCATCAGCTCTATTTGTAGATTCATTCCAAAAATGGAGCACCTCTGTAAAGACAAAAATGTATTCCCAATAATCCTCAAATTAGAAGCTTTACTTCAGCAGCAGACTGAAATCTCCATTGGTTTTGCTGCCAAAAAACAGAATGCACCAAGAGAAATATCAAAAAATTAATTGCACCAAGTAAAAAATTCACCAAACTTTAACTAAAAGTTGAGAAGTATTGCAGAATTTCAACTCTGCCTTGTAAATGTAATAAGGTTACTTTAAAAGTAAATCATGAAATATCTTGTCTTCACTTGATGGAGATACTGTCATAGCCCTGAAATTTTACTTTGTGTAACTCAGGTATTTACTTAACTTTAATAATAACTGATAAGCTGAAATACCATCAAATAGATCTGAATTTACTGGCGTTGTTATCACCAGGATGGAAGAAATTCTGAAAATCAAAGTTTCCACCCAATGCTTGCTACCTGAAATGTACCATGTACTCCCATATACACTTAATTTTTAATGAATGAATGAATGATCTTGTTATGAAAGCGAGTGTATGACCTTTTCTGCGTCACATTACAGTATCTAAGATTTCTGCCTCATTGCTCAGTGAGTCATTACTGAAGCTTCACTTTCCACAGAGAGTTATGTAATAAAGAAGGCTTTTAACATTAGTCATATTCTCAGTGAATTCTCAATGAATTCTGGAAACCTAGCAAGTAATTATGTTCTCACACTTTAGAGGTTTAAAGTATACTGTCCCCTTAAAACAGACTGTCCCCTGAAGCATTATCTTGATAGCAATAGTCAGCAATTTAGATGGCATCAGTCATTGAAGATGGCATCTAATAATGGAGAAAGACTAAAGGATGGTACAAGAATTTGGGAAAACTTAGCATATCATGGGATTTGATGCAGGGGTATATGAAAAAGACACTCATGTTGTGAATGCACTGGTAATCATGGACAGTTCCTCACATTTCCACTGGAGTGATTGTAATAGCTAACAGTCATCCTGAACAGAGCAATAAGCCAGTGAATTTTATGAACCAGAATACTTTTAAGAATTTATTATGTTGTCCTCATGTGCAGTTACTGCTTATAAAATAAAGGAATTATGATATTTTTAATGGCCTAGATAAATACTTAAATTCCTCTGTACTTGAGAGCTGCTAAATGAGTCATTGGATAGTTGGGAACCTTCACATAGGCACAGAAAATGAAAATATACTCTTTGGCTGGGAGATCTACAAGATTACAAACATGAGGCAAAGGGAAATAGGCTACATAGGTAAACATAACTTTCACTGCAGGTCTGCAAGTAGTTTCTTAGATGCAATGTTATGCTGGGCTTCCACCAACCAACAAAAAATTCAATTTTTTAAATTTCCTGCTACAGAAACTACATTAGCATTGAATTGCTGACATATGCTGAACCAAACCCTCATCTTGTGTAAACTTGTATAGCCTCACTCAAGAAGTCATTAGAGGTTTGACAAGCTAACCCAGCTAAAGATCTGGCCCACTGTTAGCACAAGCATCCATGACACAAAGCATCTATGATGAAGTCCATGAAACGGTAACACATTACCCAAACAATGGTCAGAACATATGACTGGGAGGCAAGCGCTCTTGAATTTTAAGCCTATCTATGATACTGCTTCCCAGTTCCTCTGGCCTTAAAAAAACCAAGGGAGACAGGCCAAGGTTAGCAGAAGAAAGGACTGTGAAAATCTAACCTAATGCATAAGGTAACAAAGAGGCCAGCCAACTCAACATCACAGGTCTGGACATCCTGAGGGTTCTTTTTCCCCTTCGTTGGAATCATAGCAACAGGATAGCACCCCAACACCTCCATCAAGACTGGGACCCCTTATAAGTAGGTACAATTCCTGCAGAAAAGATCATATATTTTCCACCAAGATAAAACAAGAAAACACAACAGCCTACAGGGGGAAATGTAGGACAAGAAAATAAGCAGGGAGATCAGGTGGTTCCTCAGGCTCACAGGGTGCACTCCCAATAGATATGTACTATATAGATTCATAGACACTAGGGCTGGAAGGGACCTTGGAAGATCATTGAGTCCATCCCCTGCCCCAGGGCCAGGAAGTCAGCAGGGATCATAGGATCCCAGCAAGATAAACATCCAAATGTCTCTTGAAGGCATTCAAAGTAGGTGCTTGAACCACCTCCAGCAGCAGTCTATTCCAAACCTTAGGGGGCTTGGAAAATAAAGAAGTTCTTCCCTATGTCCAGCCTGAAATGGTCTTGCGAGAGTTTATAACCATTCAACCTTGTCATCCCTTGGGGTGCTCTGGTGAACAAATGTTCCCCCAGATCCTGATGAGCACCCCTAATAAACTTAAAGGTGGCCACTAGATCACCCCTGAACCTACGCTTTTCCAGGCTGAAGAGTCCCATGGCTCTCAGCCTGTCATCA